CCTTAACGTAGGTAGTAATGCCGATAATGTAGGCAAAACACTGGGATAAGTTAGCTAGGGAGAACTGGCAGCCCTAGCTTGAATGGCGGGGCGCAGGTCACAAAGACAGAATAGCGCCCTTCTTTCGATAGACACCGACTGGACAAGACGTGCCGTGAACAGCAGGCGGCGCCCCCACGTGTCTTCACATCTGAGACCTGGGGAAATCTGGTAGAGGCACCTCGATGTACCGTAGATGATCTCCTCCATCAGCCCATACAGTAAGACGAGATATTCACCTTTTCCCGTAGGATCTGGCCAGTGTCTTAGGAGATTGTGGGTTGAGTTACTGTGGGCTCGGCGTGCTACAGAGAGAGAGCATGCCCAGTAAGTACCAGCGTCTCAGCACCGTCTGAAGCTAGCGTCTGAGTCTGCATAGTTATACTAGGGGATACATACCCTCTTGGATATAGGAATTTCTGAGGTGCAGGCAGGACACTAATAACGATTGAATATTGCAGGAATTAATGCTCCCGGTTGCACGTGGTTCCCAAGGGGAAGTCCAAAGGGGCTAAAGCTAGGCTTAGGAAGTTGAAGATCAGGATATATGCTGCAACACCAAGTAAGTTAGTCCTTTATACGTGCATGCAGGCAAAGTTTCTTGCAATACCAATCATTTGTGAAAATCTGTTCTATAAGCCACTTGGGAGGCTGAGGTACCCACCTCAGAACTCGGTGTCAACAGAGTTTGCCAGGGTAGGTGACTCACTTGGAGGCAGTCCACACAAATTTTCACACGCTATGTTAGATTAGGTTAGGTTAGGTTAGGCTACTCTAGGCTAGGCTAGGCTAGGTTAGGTTAGGTTAAGTTTGGTTATCGTTAGCTAAGTCAATTAAAACGTACATTAGCATTAATAAGTGTATTAATAACCTGAAGGGAGTGGACACGAATGCATTCACTTTGTACACCTTCATTTAAAATGTTTCCGTCCCTGGATCTTCATCACTTCAAATACAAAGTTCAAAGACCGAAATATATCCAATGAAGTAAGTGCAATCGTGTCCACTACTTCCTTCAAGTTGTCACCAGTCATTTCCTTCTTATTCCCTGTGGAATAATAACTCATGATAGGCTGCCCGTTCCCTGAACTGCAGTAATACATGAAGGTGAAGCAGAAATA